GAAACTCTCCGCTCCATAAGGAAATCTGTAGGTTTTTACCGTGTTCGTGTCATAAGTCAGATGAATCCACTACATTCCACCACACCCTTTTTCCCTGAGATTCGGTTTAATATTATCCTCCCATCTACGTCGTCGTCGTCCGAGTGGTCTCTTTATGCCAGGTTTCATGCCATTGTTACATGCGTGTCGTAAGACGCCTTTCGGGCCCCCCCCCCCCCACACTTGAGGTAGTTTGTTTCCATGTACCGCACCCATCTGTTCCCATGCCTGAGTTTTTGACTGAAATATTCTTCGGTCTTTGAAAAATTTCTTCAACCTACGCTGAATCGTTCTATTAATTTACCTCTGTATAAAACAGTAGATCATATATCGGGTCAGCTTTTCTCATACATTGCAGGATTTGAGGTTTTCACGGCGGTGAGTCTGAAGATGGCTGTCTTCTGGGTTGTAGCGCCGTGTAGTCTGGTAGAAGTTTACCGAAGTTTCAGAGGTCCTTGATGCCTCCATCATCAGAGCGATCTTTTCTCATACAGATTGGTTTACTGTATGGTATATGCCAGTCTGGAGTCGTAATTTAAGTACTGTAGACCAGACTTAATTTGCAATTCATAATTAACTTTTAATTCTCCATAATTAATATCCCATTATCTTAATGCACGCGGGCCAACTTTAAGATCATTATGCCTTATATGGTCCTTCATTATTCGGCGCAGTCATATAATGAGATGGTGAGCTTAGAGCAATAGCACGCAGCGTGTGATAGGACTCAGAATGGATTACGAGATTTTCTTTATTCGTTTAGTAAGCGCTTGAAAATAAAGTGCTCGTTGTCGAGTATCAGCGCATCTGGGGCGTCTGAAGGGTGTGATGGCTTAGATTCCTCCCCGCTGCCCATGGAGAAGCTTGTAAACAGGAAGACGTAGGCGATGAGAAACTTTCGAAATTTCACTGTCGCGGTAGTCCAGGTAGTAACCGTCTTCGTTCTGACCCATCTACTCACAGACACGTTCGTCAGATGTCGCCATGTGGTGGTTCGGAGTTCTATTCTTATTCGGGAGGTTCCCATATTCGAATCTTAGCCAGGAGGCAGGCAAGCCTGACTGTCATTTTCGTAGATTTTCGGGTAAATCAAGGCGCGTGAAGACATTTTGCATCGGAAGATATCGAGAAATTATTGTTTATTTAATAACGTGCTCTAGAATAAGTTAATCCAGCTGAGTAAAATGATTGGCTTTGGGCTAGATGACAGGAGTTTGCAACCCGGTCGATGTAGGGATTTTTCTTTTTTTATCACAGCGTCTCTACTGACAGTCATACCAAAGCAGTCTCCTGCGTAGTGGAGGTCTTTCACCGGGTTAAAGGGACTGGAGCGTGAAACTGATTATTCACGTCCATATGGGTCTGGTGTCGAAACCTAGAAATAGTGGAGTTTTGTCTCTTCGCAGTTAAACAGAAGGCGCAGGGAAAATTTACCTAGAACTAGAAATAGAAGTTAGATTGATGATGGAGACAGGTCGCATCTTTGAAACGTCGGCCAGTGTCTAACAGACTACACGGCGCAGCGACCCAGAAAAGTCATCTAAATACTCGACGCCGTGAGAACCTGAAATCTCACAATCAGAATATAAATTTGTGTTGTGTCTTACGTCCCCAGGTGTAGTCTTCAGAGAATTAAATTGCGTGTTCCTGTCACCGATATGGTGTAACGTTATTGCTGTGTTATGATAAGATGTCCGAACCACGGTGAGGAGTCTGATATTCGTCACATATGTAAGATGTTTTTGACTCGTAAGAGGTGAGGGACGATGAAAAGATGACAACATTCCTCGCTGGCTCCGGCAGGTTTATGACCCAAGACTTTCTGTTCCGAAAGCTAGCAGGGCCTTACCAGTATCTTCAGGCTAGTGTTTCGCAACCTGTGTGCCGCGCGTTTTTATAAGAAGTCATATTCGCGTGCTATAGTTAATAAAGTGTAGTAATTTATCTTCCGTAATTACATTTCGTAATACACACACGCACGTAAAGGTTCATCATCGCTGGTTTTATTCAACATGTGGTGTTTTTTCACATGCCTGCATTCTTGCAAGTCCACGTTTTATATGTAGATACATATTTATGGCCACTTATAATTTCGTTTCCCCTTTTCGTGAGGCGAAAATTTGTCGTGTTCCGTCATGTGTCTTTGTCAAATTAGGGTTGCGGAACACTTTTCTTGCCTTCCCTTCATATTATTGTAAGTGATTCGCAAGACATTAATTTTCGTTAGCACGTGTTCGATTTTTTTTATTGAAGATTTCAGAAGTGCGAGTCCTCTTTGGGAGGCAATGAGCTGACTTATAATGACAACGGAATGTGTTTGGTTTGTACAGTGAGTGACTTATTTTCAGTTAAATCATTTGTGAGCTGCCAAGAATTACCCAGGGTATTGCTGGGCCTGTATAGGGTATTCTTCGGTAGGGAATGGTCAGAAAAATTCCCCTATTGAGGTACTGTAGTTTGCAGGGACGAATGGAACCTTGGGGTGATAACAGTTAGGTTGAAGAAAAGAGACAAGCCTCTAATGGAAGGGGCACTGTGGAATGCAATACAAATGTGCAGGTATTTGTTAGCCCTGTGTTGCAAAGTTCGGGGGACAGAGGCCAGTACCTAGAACAGAGACTCCAAGACGTTCTGGAAGTCACAAAACTTAAAGCCGGAATATTAGATATTTTCAGCACATGGATCCAAAATAATTTTAACTTAATATTAGTAGAGTTTTGGGTACGTATTTAACGAATAGCCTACCTGCAGGCCTTAGATTAAGTAGAATTTTAGGTTCTCACGGTGGGTTGTAGCATCGTGTAGTCTGGTAGTACAAGAAGCAGTGTTAAGATTGCCGCCTCCATTATCGCGGAAACTTTGGTTAACTTCTACCAGAATACACTTCGCTACGACTCAGAGACAGTCATCTTCGTTAGGCCGGAGATTGCATTGGAGAGTCATGATGTGAAGATTAAGCTATGTAATATTATTGTCCGTCTCTAAATAATAGAACTGATACTCAATGTCTTAGAAGTATGAAATGAAATATTTATTGAGATCTTATGCAGAAGGCTGTGTCAGTCTAATGCCAGATTCTTTCAGACCACAACTTTAATGTAACTATCTATGTCGTTGTTCCCTGTTATGCATACGCTGTCTTATCATTGCGGTTGTTCTTTCCCATCCCCAGTTCAGATTATAAATTTCTCTCATGTGCGTCCGTAGATAAATTCCTTTCGTTATTAATGCTGTAATATTGGTACAATCTGTCCCTTCATTAAGCATAAGACAGTTTGTACTGAAGAATTGTTCCCTCCATTTCCTGGCTTCTTCATCCTTACTACGTAGAGGACATCTTTGTTCGTCAGCTTCCAGATACCAGTCACAAACCAAGCCAGGCCATTTCCTTCTGCCCTTGCACAACAAACTGTGTATTCTTCTCTGGCCCATTCCTGTTTTATCTCAATACAATATATTAATTACCTCTTCTCTGTGATTTTTGAAAAAATTCTGTCGTTCTGTCATTGCATGTTTATTTCTTTTCTTTTTTATGTTTTGCGAATTCCATTCATAGCGTTCACCCATAGGCCTTGCGAGATATGTCCTAGTCCTGTTTTACTTAACTGTTCTCCCAGTCTTCTTTTACCAAACAATCAAATTTTAAAATTGTTTACCTTCAATTATTTACCTTCACAGTCTTACTAGTTACTTCTTGTCCATATGTACAGTTATTTGCCAGTCTCTTACAGCAAGACCACTCCTCCTGTATCTTCCTAGTTCTAATTCAACAATCCTGTTCACTGTTAATCCAGGTATCCCTAAGATTTTCTTACAATCTCCCTTGAATTATGTCAGTCTCCTTCCACCCTTCATCGAATCTCCATATCACGTGTTCTTGCAAACACTTGCCAGGAGCTATTGATTACTGGTTTCCTGTTTCAGCCTCCGGAACTTTACAGGGTCACTCGCAGATGCCCTATTTTATTTACTACACCTATTAATTGAAAACACATAAACCATTTTTCTAGTTCTTTAAGTGTTCCGTATTTTTTTAAGAAACCAGTATTTTTACCATTTTGAGGTTATATTTTAAGTTCCAATCGCTATAGCAAGTTACGATTTCGTAGAAATATGAACTGCCCAATATAATTTATTTTTCGATAACTCTACTTGATATTTGTAAGTAGGCCACGACTTCGTGGATATTTAGATGACGGTTTTGTTGATGTCGTGAACCAATCATTTTTTTGTATGTCTGCACGTGGGGTAATTAACCTGCAATGCGTCCTTATGTTGAAGGCGCAGTATGTAAAAGAGAGTGAAGTGGTTACAGCTGTACAGTCAAATTTTGTGAAAGAAACTTTCATACGTACTTTCAGTCCCGGTTTTGATTATCACTTGAAACGGAAATCGGCTTACTGCAAATTTATGCATAATCAATACAGATAATAACAGGTAAACGTATTTGATTCATTCGTCCAAGGAGTCCTACCAAATGTCTAAAAAGTTTAAGAACCCTTCCGTTTGTGAGGGGGTCAAGGTCCTACAAGGACTGTGGCGCCACAGATGATGATGGTGATGATTTAGAACTAAGTCGATTACGCGACAGTTTGTTTGTTAGCACTGGATATGAGAAAGTCCGTATATATTATTATGGTACATACGAAATATTAGTGTTTTTTTTAGTGATTTTGTAAGGCTCAAGAATTGTTTCCATTTCGAAAAGTATTACATGTTGTATCTGGGAGTTATTGGTGGACCTGCTGCAAAATTTTGGAAAGTTCTTTCCATTTTAGGAACGCGTCTTGTGTTTGGTACTAATAATGCGACTTGATCCAATATAAAACTACCTGAGCGTACCGAAAGACAGAGAAGGGTATTGGAAAGGAGAGAGACGACACGATATTGAGAGTGAGAGAGGAGATAAATGAGAGAGAAAGAGAGATAGCGCGCGCAATTTCAAGGTTGCTGCACGTCTCTTTTCTTAAGTCCAGTACGTGGCAGGTAAAAGAACAAGGTGAAAGAGCTGCAGACGGAGATGATAAACAGAAGGACAGAGACGGGGAATTTATCCTTGTGCTCAGCGGGGCAGCTTAACGTAAGCCAGAGAGGTAGAAGCCAAGCGAGTTAGAAGATATTACGGACAGTCAGTTTCAGCCATCTTTGAAAACTCCCCAGCCACCTGCAACATCTGAAGAAGACAGAACTTAGCATCTCCGCTGTCCAGCATCTGAAGGAAGAACTCTAGTGGATGGAAGAAGGAAAGGAGAAGAAGAAAACGGAAAGAACTTGTGGCGCTGCTGCGCTTTCCGTTCCTCTGTTGTTTGTTGTTGGAACGGGGGGCCCTTTGAGTTGAAGAAGGTAGCAGGAGTGAAGTGAAGTGAGGACACTGGGGTTTTACAGTGGTGTCGAATGGAAAAGTCTTGAACTTGTGGTAAGAGAAATTGTGTTTTAGTGTCGTTTTTCGTGACTTGGGACGTTGTGCAGTGTGTGGAAATGTCGTAAGATATTAGAAAGTACGTATTCCCGGGATATTTATGTACTTGAAGGAGGAAAATGGCAAGTTCGCTAATCGGATCTCTTATTGAATGAAGCAGGTTAGTAGTGTTTGTGGTTTGGGCGGCATTTTTAAATGTATCCGACGAACAAATTGTTTTAACCATCTTCAAAATACTGAATATTGTTTCGAGAATATAGCACGTTGTAAGAATAGTTTATATGCTTCATTGCAGCAAAAGATTTTGTGTTCTGCAACAAAAAATGCTAACATTTCAAATACGGTTTTAATGTGAAGTTCGTAGAAATACAAGGAGTGTTAATTATATATTTTGACTCTCGGCGTCAGTAGCTGAAAGTGCTTTAGACTTTCTGTTCGTATAAAATAAAATTGGCTTCGAAATGAAACACAGGACAATATTTTAGTGGTGTTGTGGCAGGATAAAGGTTGTGTACGACACACGTGTAGAATTTTATTAAACTATTGCACAGATATGTCGCATATGTGACGAAAATGTTTATAGTTCATAATGTTATCAGATACATGAAGCATATATAAGAAGTTTGTAGATAGAACTGAAGGAACAGAGAAATACTTTGCTGCTGTGCGTTGAGATAGCAATATCATGGATGACGACCACATGAGCCCCCTAGAACACTGTCCGGCAAGTCCCTCTGATTCCCAGACGTCGTGCGATCAGATTCCTGTGGGTGACATCATCGGTGGCAGTGATGTTGTTAGCAACAGCAATAACAACCACAAGATTAAGACATCGCCTCTTAACCACGAGGACACGGATGGTGATGCTCTCTCACCCAGGAAGCAAATGCATCATGGGAACAACACTAACAACAATGATGTGTCTTTCGTCTTGATGGATGACGATGGTGGAGGTCCTGGTGATGACCTGGGGTCAGACGATGTAGTGGATCCTGATGACGTGCAAGATATGACCGAGGTAAGCAACTGCTGTGGATTGCGTGTCTTAAAATTTAAAACGTGCTCTTCTTTTGTTAACGTATTCCCGCGCCATGAAGGAGCATTCTTAACTTCGGCATCAGATTTAGGTGAGCGGTCAGATTCACGCCCCGGCCACTTTACTCCAGAAGAAAGATTCCACTGTACCCACTTGATAGGGTTCAGGGTGGGCCTAGAGCCGGTATGGACCCGGTAGCTAGGCGGAGTATGCGTTTTTGCCCTATTGGAAATCGAACATGAGAGTTCAGCTCGTAGTCTAGTCACTGTACTTGTCTCTTTGAACTGTTACGTAAATTATATTTCTTACCATATGAAAGACATCGACGTTCTTTTAAGATGCACGGTTATATTAGAAGGGTTTTGGAGTTTCAGATTACCTGTTGACATGCCTGGATCTTTTCCTTCTGACTATTTAATTACCTCCGTAAAACAGAGGCTGTCTTCAGAAGCTAATAATCGCTCAGGTAGTCTAGAAGTTCCCCGCATTTACGGGCCTTTAAGGTTCATTACCGTGTTCACAAAAGTCAATCACACATCTCTGTCCAGAGTCAGGTATATCTAATCCCAATCTTCTGACACCATTTGGTTAAAAATTAAAATTCAGCGGTGAATGGACGAACATTTAGGTCCATGCCAGCGTCAGGTTTCTTGGCTTATTTAGCAAATAAAATATTTCAGACGTTTACGTACATTTTATGTGAATGTAATGGTGATTACGGTACATGTCTGCCCAGTTTCGCTCGTCTGTAACCTATCAGGAAACACGCCATGGAGCTTTCCTCCTTCATGTCCCTACCCTCTTTGGAACTAAGGTGCATTGAACTGAGAATTACACAAGATAGTTAAATTATTTATCTTTCACGCATAACATTGAATTGCTAATAGTGGCAGCGACTAGTAATCACACACCTTAAATATCCATACTAAGAGCCTGCATTCAACTTTTCAGTTACCAACAGTTTGAATTTTAAGTGTGTGCCCCGCGTTGCGAGCATCCATTTTTAATGTCGAAGTAAGTTGGAACTCACAATCTTCTGTAACAGTGTGTTCCTCTTTGTTACTGTCCAGCTCAATATAATTAGATCTCTAGAATTATTTATTTACATCGCATCTCTAGTTAAAAAATTTAAATTAAATGACGCCGTAAAATGGATTTCTTTCTGTGTTTTCAGCATTTCAATTGGAGTAGACCTACCTGTATGAACTTAATGGGGCAGGAGTATTCGTTGCCAAGCCAGAGAGAAAGCTCTGAGTTGAAGTGGCTTGTGAAAGGGATGTTTGTTTCTAAGTAGTTGATACTAGTGTGAAATGAAAATAGAATGGATGGTAGAAGGTAGAAAATACTGTGTTCTAATGGGCATTGAGAAACAATTACAATAAAGTTCCCAAGCAAATAATTCGCAGGACACAGATGTACAGAAGGGGACAGTCAGACACACTTGTTACGAGGAGTTTTAACGACACTCTTTAACTATATAGGTTACATAGCGACAAAATATATGATTATTATGAATTATTGGTTGAAAAAGATATGGAATGAAGAAGTTTTGGTTTCTTAAAAGAAAAATCCAAATTTCGTCTCTTAGAGATTCAGGTATATAACTAAATGTCTTAATCAGGATAGCAGGTAACTGCGAGTATTCAAACCTGGGTCTTATGAACACGAAGCATTCGGCAAAGCATTGGGACGAAGAAATATAGCCGGCAGGTACAGCAGAGATAATTATAATTTGTAATAATCTTTCTAAGGACCCACTACAATAAATATCCTCTCTTCTACATTCATCTGATGACGGAGATATCATGTTTTTCGAAACGTTCTGTATTTTTTAATAAACACCAGTGACGATTAGCAGTGCCCAAAATAACAGTCGAGCTTGTTGTCAATTCATTTGTTCTTTACTTAGTTAACCAGGAAGTCAGTCGGTCACTTGTATCATCGCTTAGTGCTTAGGAGAGCTTATGGTATTGAGAAGCGGAATTGAAATTGACGTTGGTGTTTGTATTATTAGGTTCGTGATGTAAGTTTACTTGTGCAATGTGTAACGGCATTGCATACTGATCGAGTCTTTCAACTGTTTCTGTAACCACAGAAACCAAGGTGACAGTTATCAGTGTTACATACTTATTCTGTCTGCGTTACTGCATTGTAATACAGTGTAGTGTCCTGCGAGGACCGTTCAGTCCGTTGTACGTAAGCACCACCAATAATTCAGCACAAAACGTGTTATTTGATGGTTATCAAATGTTTAATAACCTATTTTTATAACTAAAATTATCCCTGTGTCCAATCAACGCGCCATAAACTTCCTCCGTTCATTATTAGACTTTTCTTGAGATGATAATTATTGGTAAATTTCAGCCTTCAGTATTATTTACTTTGAAAATAAGAGCCGGCAACTTTTGGGTTGGACTGTTGATGGTGCCGCGGTGAAAGATAAATAGCGGGAACTCAATGTGGATACTTCGCCGATTATCTGCGTATTTAATTTTGGAAGGAAAATTCCTTTCAGATTCACAGTTTACGTCTCTAGACGAGAGTTAATTCATAAATGCTCCCCTCTAAATACGGTCGTCTTTTAGTCCAGATGTATCTTGCTTTATTTTATCCCTGAAGATAGGGGTTAATCGTTCCTCCGAAACGCTCATAACTATCTTTTAGATCACACGGTGTCTCATCCGTGATTGACACGTTCATCTCCGTGAGAACCTAAATATCCACTTGAATTTACTGCAGGGTGCGAGTTCTTCTACACTTCATTGGACAGTCGATATGCAAGTGATATTTCAGGTTCTCAAGTGGCGAGTATGAAGACGGCTGTGGTATGATCTGTCTCTGTCATCAGGGCGATGAGTAATCGCCCTGATGGTGGAGGCAGCAAGCACCTCGGAAACGTCAGTAAACTACCAGACCACACGGCGCAATAAACCAGTCCAAAAGTAGTTTTCCCAGTGGTGAATAATTTCTGTGGAACCTGTGTTTCGTCACAGGAAGAACGGCCCCGCGCAGAGGATCAGGCGAATGAGTGAGAGCTCTCTCGTTTTGTGGTGGTATTCCCCAATTTCCCTCAGGGGTTGGCAAGCCAGGCTACCTGCCTGCAAGCCAGTCACTCTCAGCTCCACGACTTGTCTGCCATGTCTGTTTGTAATTGTGTGGAGTCGTTCGTCTTTCTTACATCGTCACCATTATAGTTAATGCAGCAGTGGTACATAGACGTCTGATACTTGATCTTCTATCTCTCGTTTACCACCTTACATTTCTTCGCAGGATTGAACAGAGTGGAATAGATCTTTCGTTTGCAATTGGTTACTCGCATGGAAACGTCGTGTAAAATGTGTTGATAAGTTTTTACCAGTTATTAGGAACTCGGGAACAATATTGAAAGTGTGATTTGTGCTGTTTTTCTTCCCGGTTGGTTATAGTCTAAGCTTGTTTGGTTAGGTTGGAGGCAAGTTGTGTTGGTTGCTTTTACCGAAGTTGCAGTGAACACTATGTGTAGAAAAGAGAATCGTGCACAAAGCCATAAGATTGCCTACAGCGAGTTCTTGGGATTTACTGCTGATTTCTTTACATAATATCTTCTCTGTCTCTTTTTTTACGTCCTCTCGACTTGTTTTGTTTATTCCACGTGTTGCTCAAAGTATTTTCACACCTGTTCTTTATCCCGACGACAGAACATCGTATAATCTGAGAAACTTAACTTCCTGCGATAAGCCATGTCATATGCTAAAAAATATCCAATGTTTCGGCCAGCATTGCAGTTGACATCTTCAGGACAAGTATGCTCTAATATGGCAAGTGCATTGTTTGACGACACGCTGGATGATTTTTAACAGTTGACGTCACTCATCTCTGAAAACATGAGGTTTTATATTGAGCCCTTTCCGCGAAAGCGAAGGACAAGTATTATTGCTGTCCGTATTACCTTTCGTCAGATTTAATTAAGCTGGGAAATACTGAAATAGGATGTTCTTACTGGTTTGTGTATTTTTTAACATAAGGCATTGTCTTGTGTTTTCTCAAAGATTTTGTTCAAGCGCCAGACGATCTTTGGTTCAAAAAATTGTATTTACTATTTCAAATTCTAGCCTTATATAGGTTTGAATGGAAATTTACTCTGTTTTATTAATAGGTAATTAATTTTTCTATAGCTCTATCTAAATTTACTCCACAGTGCTCTGAAAAAAACTTTCATAAGTATTTCATTTCGAGTTTGGCAAATAGCCAAATTTTTAAAAAAAAAATTAATTAATTTTAACAGATTACAAAGCAACAAGTATGACAAAAATTCCTTCTGTGTTCTTTACTGTTTCGAACGCATAATTGGTTTATGTTCATTTATTGCAGATTCAGTTACCTTCTAACAAAACTGATTAACAGTACAGCCGTTTAGGAGGGAAGAGTCAAACAATTTTCTTTGTATTTGTCGAATTTTATTACATAGGCAAATATCTCAGATAGATATTACAGATCTTTGTGTGTGTTTTCTGATTCAGTTCATATTGTTGCATGAAAAATTTGATAAAAATGGATTTCTCCTTCAAGCAAAGAATATTTTCATTGTATCAACATGGTTCAAAATGTGGTTATTCCTACAACATTTAATCTAAATTTCAGTACCCAGTTAATCGACGTCCTTTGGGCTACGTTGGATATGATACATGTCAGGACAGATGGATACTTCTTAAAACGCACGACAGTATAGAAAAAGTATGCTGATGCGAAGTGTTATCCGATTGTTATTGTTCTGTACCAGCATTTAAGTCTCCAAGTACAATTCTTTTCAGTTCGTAACTGTTTTGTGTAGGCTGCTGCTCAGTATTGATTTTATCAACATATGAAGCACTCATTTAACGCTAAGTACCCGGTGCCCGAATTTATAACTTGTGTTGGGCAAGGCCGTGGTGTAGACAACATGGAGTTTTCCTCCGGGGGCTTCCCCGGTTTCTCCGTGCCATCCCAACAATTACTCCATTCAC